ATAGTAGAACTAAAAGTGCCTAACTTGAATAATCTTTTGTTTTTATTGTGTGCCCTACCATACACCAAATATGTTATGGATTTTCTAAGAAATGCAATGTATTTGGAGGCTCGATATGCGTCAGTTAATATTTTTGAAGAAATAATTATATATTTGAGTTATTTTTATTTTTGGTCACAATTTTTTGGATTTTTATTTTTTTCAGCTATTATATGAAGTTTAAAATTATCAAAGTACATATTATAGTTTTTTAGCAATGATTAAGATTGGGTTAATTTAAGATTAGATTAACTACATCTTCACCATGCACAAATGTGTCCAAAAATTAAAAGTTGGAACCTTGAAAAAGGCACAAAGCCAAGGTTAATTACTTAGGGAATCTTACTAAAAAAATTATTAATTAAGAATAACAAAGTTGTAATTAGTGGTTTAATTTGTATAATAAAGAAATTAAAAGACAAGGACAAAATACTATGTATATTATAACTTAGAAAATCTTATTGTAAATTTTTTCTAACTGTTTCATCCAACATTTTACTGTTGTTCTTGGTATTGTTGCTGTGGTTATAGGAATCATCCTCTGAAATATTAGAATATATTTAGTTGGACTAATAATTAATTAATTTAATTGGGGGGCCAAGCAAAGTAGTATAAATTCGAACCTTGTTGCATTAATATTATTTATTGAAATATTTAATTATTGTCACAATCTAAATCTTGTCCTTTTTCTTTTGTTGACAAAGAAACATTTTTGAGTGTGTACAAAATAAATTTTGTTTTTGTAAATATTTTGTAATTGTGTTAGATAAGTTTTGTGTAATGAATTTGATTGGAAATACAGGTAAAAGAATTTTGAATCAGAAATTTTGTGATTTTTTATTCGAAAGATCACTTGCTTAATTAATTTAGCCATAAAAGTATGTGGAGGATTTCGAACATAAGACTCTGCAACTTCCTATTTGAAATATTACATGCGCAATCAAGTCAACCAGAAAAACTATGTAGAGGATTTCAAACTTAAAACTCTACGACTTTCGATTTGAAAGAACACCTGCTCAACCATTTTAGCTAGAAAAAGTGTGTGGAGGATTTTGAACTTGAGACTCCGCGACTTTCTATTTGAAAGTTCACTTGTTCAACTAATTCAGAGTAGAAAAAGTATGTCGACGATATCAAATCTGAGACTCAACAACTTTCTATTCGACTTTCTACTTGAAAGATCACCTGCTTAATCAATTTTAACGAGAAAAGATATGCGAAGAATTTCAAACTCGAGACTTTGCAACTTTAGATCGTTCAACCAATTTCACCATTGCGAGTCTAAATATCTCCCTTATTAAACAATAAACAAAGATGTCAGTTTTTGATTCTTTTCTTGTTCTTATAGATACTAATCATACTTCCAAGAAATAGTATTACAAATATTGATATATACTAGAAAGAATCGTTAAACCCTAAAACCATCCAAAATTAGGTTCATGTTCTTGATAATAGCAAATGTTCCACTTCTTAAAATACCCCAAAATAATATTAATAATATTGACATTGTAGTTATCCACAAATTGGTTTACCTAAATATATCCTTCCGATGCTGTAACCTAACAAAACAAAAAATAAATAATTAAATTTTATTCACGTTTTGAACTATTTTTTCTGTCCCAAAATATATGTCGTTTTTTTTTCTTTTGGAACTTCAAACTTATGTAAGCTTTTGATTATGCTTAAAAAGTTTCAATTTTCATCGTATAGACATAAGAAGAATGGCAACTATTTATTCCATTTGAATATTTACGTTTAACTGTAAAAAAAAAGTGATACTTAATTTGTGACGAAATTATTCATGTGTTAAACAAACTATAAACCTATAATGCTTTTGTCTAATTAATTGTTTAAGCTAAAAAACATAATGATAACCTCTTAAATCAATAGTGTCGGCTAATTATTCCACTAATAAAACATTATACTAATGTTTATTTTTAATTTAATAATATATTAAGCATGATATAAACTAATTAAGCTCTTGTTAATCAAGGTGTTGTCACTATCATGGTAGTTATTTAAATTTTGGATTATTATTCTTGATTCAAACTCCTAGATTTTGGAATAAATATATCTGTCTTTATTCTGATTTTCTTACCAATATGGTTGTTATTTGATTAGACTATTTGATAGTGACTTAATAGAATAAAAATTTGGCATTAGTGTATTGCCAAAATGATTAATTAATTTGTGGGGTTCTAAAGAATAAATGATGACTATTTTTGTCGGTGGAAAAAATAATATATTTGACAAAAATAGTTTCATTAAAAAAAAGGGATGAGGTGTTCTTTGATAATTTACCTAATTTTTGTTTGGTTTATTATAATGTGATAGTACACTATTTCTCTTTTTGTATAAAATTTTATATTTAGGGTATATGATTCTTGTCTTGAGAGTAATTAAGTAATTGAAAATATTTGACAAACAAAATTTTATTATAATTTATAATAAAATGTGCTTTTTCTTTTTGGGAATTATCTTTGGTGTTGTGTTATATTATCCTATTGAGAAAATAATGCTTAATAGTCAATTGGAAATTGAATTTTAAGAATGACCTTTTCTATCTCTTTGGTGTGTAAAAAAATGACATTTTCTTGTAAAATGACATAAAATTATTATTGTTATTATAATTCTCAATGATAGTATTTTAGTACAACAATTTAAACGATATCAAATCAAATAACAATATTATAGAAAAGTTTGATCGTTTTAGTTATGAATTTTTTTATATAATTATAAAATTATATCTATCTGTTATAACAAGTACCATGTTTTATTATAATACAATATTGATAGTCTATATAAGAATTTACATTATACAACTTATGGTAAAATTTATATGTAAATTAATCGTCCTAGATTATAGATATGAAAGTAAGACTTGATTTTTACATTATCATAATATATTCACCTGCTATAACATATAATCTATTTTCTTTTTCAAGATTACAAATTTAAAATATTATTTCTAAATATTTTTTAAATGACGTGGCAATTTTTTCGTATACAATATATATATATCTTAAAACCTTAATCAAACTTAAATTGTGGTGGACTCATGAAATGCAATGTATGATTTGGCCCATTAGCCCATAAAAAGGAGAAAACAAGAATATTTTTCAAATGGGCTTAGTCAATTAAGGATAATATCCTAGCCCAATATTGGTAAAGTAAGTGAATCCATGAGATAATTATTGTAAGGACAACTTTCACATATAGCAAATAAAAAATTCATATTTGTATGTTATAACAAAGTTTGAATAATTGCGCTCCATAGCAAACATACAACTGTATAATTCGCTATACATATACAACTGTATAATTCGCTGGCCTAAATTGTATAATTCGCTGGCCTCGCTATACATATTCAATTGTATGATTCGCTAGCCTATTTCACTGCAATATGTGTATAAAATTTGCTTTGCATACAACTAAATCGAAGTAAAATGTTTGTATATTGTATAATTATAAGTGTATAGGAAGAAGATATATGTTTTTCTCTCGCTTTATACAAAAACAGAAACACAATTTATACACTTTTGTTGTATAAAGCGAGAGATAATTGTATTTCACTGCAATTGTATAATTCGCTGGCCTTTTTTGCTGCAATATTTGTATAAAAATTTACATTTGTATACAATTGAATCGAAGTAAAATGTTTGTAAATTATATAATTAAGTGTGTAGCATGAAGATATATGTTTTTGCATGTGTATATACAATTTTTTCTCGCATTATACAAAACAGAAGCACAATTTATACACTTCTGTTGTATAAAGCGAGAGAGGCAGGGAGAGTGACAAGCGAGAATGAGAGAGTGACGACTGGAAAACTTTGACAAATGTTTGATATAGGGCACAATTAAATCAAACAATAGCTACTCCATTTATTTTAGGTTATTAGTTTGCTATTATATACAATGATCCCTTATTGTAAAGGATATATGATCGATAATACTAGTTTAGGAGATTTATGAATTAATGTTGATGATTTTTTTTTATTTCACAACCTAGATATCCTATTGTGTATGTAAACTTTAATAGTCATATTATGATAAAAAAAAAATTAATTTCCTCCCCATATTAATGTATTTATATGTTATACATATTATTTCAAGAGGTGGGCTCAACACACAATATAATCGAAGTTGAATACAAAATTTATAGCTTATCAATTGTGAACTTGTCATGGAATTCACAACTCATTTTGATTGTTAACTTTCTAATACAAGTATAACCAGTAAAAAATTACCGAGTTTATTCAAATCATTCACAATCTAGCTCTCCATGATACAATAGAAATACAAAGTTATGTTTTTCCAAATTACTCTACTTTTGATCAATGAACTATTAGAGTCCAAGTCATATATATATATATATATATATATATATCAAACAAACTCATCAATATCCAAATATCTTCACATATCGCAATATTTTTTTTAACAAAATATAAATTGAAAATTTCTTATTAAGAGTAAATAATTATTTATCGATACAAGTGAAGTTTTAGGCCTAATGGTTAGTTGTTAGTAAGAAAGATTGATTCTTTTTTAACTTTTTTTGATAAAAGAAATAAGTTAAAGTGAAGTTATTCACACTAAAATCACATAATTAAATTAAATTTCCATAACAATATGTGTGTCCCCCCTCCACTAGCACTAGTATATGTTGAAAAGTCCAAAGTATCAATTTGTAGAGGAAAACATTTTCATATATTAAATTAATTAAAATGTATTTTTTATAAGAAGTTATTTAAAAATAATTCATCGAGGATGATTGAAAATAAGTTTTTCAAGTGTTGTTCGATATTGATGAGAATTTTTTTCATACATCATCTTTATCCGCACATACACGATAATATTTTCTTATATTGTAATGTACAAACGAAAACTTGATATATGTAATCATAATTATGAGAAATTTATGGTAGTAATTTGTTGACTAATATAAGTTGTTATACCCACAAAGCAAATAAAGAAATTAACAATATGAGTGAAGAAAACCCCAATAGGAGCAGACTCCAAATACTCACTTCACACTTCACTCATCACAAGAAGTCAGCCATGGCTTCTGAGAAAGAAGCTGCTCTTCTTGCTGTTCCTTCAGATTCTCCTACCATGTATGCATTTCTCCTCATATTTCTAATTTTTATGTTTCATTTCTCTGTTTTTTATAATGGGGTTTTCTTAAAAAATTGATTCTTGATTTTCAGTCAGATTCTCTTACCATGTATGCATTTTTCTGTCTATCTTTCAGTTTTATGTGTAATTAGCTCTGTTTTTGTAATGGGGTTGCCTAAAAATTGAATCTTGATATTCAGATTTGACAAGATCATTAACAAGGAAATCCCAGCAGATATTGTATTTGAGGATGACAAGGTTTGTGTGCTTGTTATGTGTTTAATTTTTTGTCTTGTATTTGTTTGGGGTGTAAAGTTTGAACCTTTATGTGCAGTTTTTGTGTATTAGGGTGAGATTTGTTTGGTACTTTGTAATTTTCCATCTGTTTTAAGTGTTTTGGTTTTAACTGATGTTTGATTTGCTTTGACTATCGTGTTTTTTTGGCGTTGCTATTGTTCCTCTTTTTGGTTGTTTTTAGTGTGACTTCTTTGGTACTGTACTTGGTTTGTATATTTTTTGTTTTATATGTGTTACTTGAGCTGAGGGTTCTATTGGAATTGGCCTCTTTACCTTCACGAGGTAGGCGTAGGCTGCTCACCATCCTCCCTGAACCTCACTTGTGGGATTTTACACTGGGTATGCTGTTGTGCGTTTGGTACATGTAATTGTGTGAAAATGTAGGTATCCTGCACAATAGAAGTAGGAGCGGAGACCTCTTTGTTTTTTGTTAGGTCTAGAAATCAGTGATCTCACACAAAAAGAGGCACTGCATAGAAGGATAGTGTTTCGGTGGTATTTTTGAGTTTAAAGATATGTAATTTGTTGGTGTTGTTTTAGTAAAAGTTCAAATTACTCGAGCAAGCATGCTTTGCTTTTTTAGGGTGCTGTCAGTACTTTATCCACTGCTTATGGTATGTGTATTTTGATATTGTGCATCAAAATGCCCATGTTTAAAGCTTTCGTATCAGCTGATCCTTTTGATGTATAATGTATTTCATATTTGGTTGTGTCATTTTCTTGCCAGGTTTTAGCTTTCAGAGACATAAATCCCCAAGCTCCTGTGCACATTCTGCTTATTCCCAAGGTCAGGGATGGCTTAACCGGACTTTCCAAGGTATTTTGTTTTCTTTCTGAAAGAGTATGAACAAGCTTTTTGTACGAGCTGATAGTTGTTATAACGTTACACAAAAGAAGCACATCAGTTCCTGTATTGTGCTTCAGAATATATGAGGTGCAGTGCCTTAAGTGAAGTATAATATGGTGACACTTAGTGGCTAGCTTTGGTAATTTATTGGCTTAAAGGTGTACTTTGGTTAACGTGATTGCACTTTAATAAAATGATATTTGCCATCTCTGATCAAACAAAGTGTTAAAAATGGAATTAAAAATAGAAACTTGCTTTAGCTCATTGCTGCTCGTAGACTCGCAGCACTCCATGGAGCTACACTAGGAGTAGGGAGTTCTCCATGTTTTGTTTGTTACTGTGTTTTTTTTGTGCATCATTTATTTCTTTGGGTGTCTGTTCATTCTTTATTTCTTGTTTCTTGCGCTCTTTATTTTCTTGCTTTGTACTGTAACGTGTAGGCTCTGTACGATTTATGCATTTCTTTTCATTTGTTCTTTGTGGGGCTATACTAGGTATGTTTTTGTTGCGTTCTTTTCATTCATTTTCCTACTACTTGGGGGTTTTGGTCCTAAATCATTAAATGAGTTGGGTAGTTCTCTCTTATTAATTAATAGGCATGATTTTTTACGTATGTCCCTCATAGTTGTTGATAACCTGTATACAAGAAGCGCAATGAAGCATTGCCTTTGCTATAAGAATATACGAGTCATGAGTATAAAAGAAACGAGAAAATTGGTGATCCGTTGAAGCGATTGCTTCACCGAATTTGTTGGTTTGAAGTATAAAAGTTCACTTTTTTTTCACGTACTGCTCTTTAATATGATCGCTGGTTTGCCTGATCAAATGAAGTGAATAGTAATGAAGACGAGTAAAAGGAGATACAAGACTATAAAAGCTCGTCACAGATATAGTCTTTTTACATTTGGTTTCTTGAATGAACCAGTGTTGTGAAAGGCGCTCGCCATAGCGCCTTTGGCGAATGGCGAGGCGAGGCGAGGCTGTGTCGCCATTATCCACTGAGGCGAGGCGACCTCAAATAGGCGAGCTGAAGCGACCCAATGGCGACGTAAATGGTGTCGCCATTTTGATTTTTTTTTTTAAAAAAAGTTTTAACTTAATAATATTAGGGTTTTTTTTTCTATTTTCAAACTTCCATCAGACTTTCGTGTATTCCTCTTCTTCTCTTCCTCGAGTCGCTGCTGCTTCTTCTCTTCCTCAGTCGCTGCTCTCTTCTTCGTCTATTTTCCTCGAGTTGTTGCTCCATTCGTCTCTTTCTCTTTCACGCTTCACTGCTCCCTGCCTTCACTACTCTTTTTTTTCCTCTGTTTTCTCCACTCTCTGTTTTGTCTTGTTTTGTCCCGGATTACTATAAAATGCTTTCTGCTTTCACTGTGTTGCGACTGTTGTCCATTATTGTTTTGAAAAAAAAATAATTCTTCTATAGTAATTATTATAGTATTTTTAATATATGTAATTGCTATTGAAATTTTGAATATGATATGAGCAATTAAATGTTCTTAATTTTTGGTATTAATTGGCGCCTCGATTCAAAAAGGCTAGTGGCGAGCCGCGTAGCGAGGCAGGCCCTTGTCGCCTTTTGTCGCCTCTCGCCGTCCAAAACACTGGAATGAACACTTGTCTAGAGTACGTAGAACAATGTCCTTCGTCCTTCATAACTGGGGATCTCTTGAAATATTTGAGTACTATTGGCTCTATGCTGCTTTATAATATGGAAACCTCTCGTTTTGAATTTCTATTTTCAGGCTGAAGAAAAGAACTGTGATGTTCTTGGTCGACTTCTCTACACAGCAAAGCTTGTAGCCAAACAGGAAGGTCTTCTAGAGAATGGATTCAGACTCGTGATCAACGATGGGCCTGATGGATGTATATAACTTGCTTCTTTGCTCCCGTTGTTTCCAGTTATCGTAGTTCCATTTTTAACATCGAAGATTGTTGTTTTCAGGCCAATCTGTTTACCATCTTCACCTTCACCTTCTCGGGGGACGACAGATGAACTGGCCACCTGGCTAAAAGGACGTCGAGACGAATTCCAGATTTCATCCTATCATATATGTCATGTGTGCTTAAAAAAACCCTTATAATCTATGTGTAGCATTTGAAGAAACTTGTGCTATGCTCCTATGGAGACAAATAAGACTACTCTCGACAATTATGATATTTATCATTTTATCACTAACACAGATTCTCTGCACTCTTGCATAATATCTAACTATTTACGTCGTTCCGATGGTATATTTTTTTTAGTCGATGGACCAGACTACTTATGAATGTAACCACAATTAACGGTACTATGACCGGTACACAAAATCAGAAGTAAATCACGAGTCGGACCTATGAGAACACATTTCTTAACTTGCTAATTGGAGCCTTTGAATAATGTCACATGCTCTCCATATGTATATTAATCACATTTGGTGTTGAATACTCATGTTAGAGCTCGACTAATACTGAATTTGCGCGGGAAAGTCCTACTACATTAGGGAAAAACACTCCCTAACAACGGCGACGCTGTAGGAATTCGAACCCAAAATTACGTTGGAATCCAATTAAATTCAGATTTGTGTTGGAAAGTCCTACATTGGGGTAAAACACTTCCTAACCAAGGCGAATTCGAGACATTTATTTAAGGATAAATAAGTACTTAGACTTGTCTAAATTCGAGCAGGAAAGTCCCATATTAGGGGAACACTTTGTAACAAAGGCGACTCCTTAGGGATTCGAACCCAAGATTGTTAAGGATGAAAGAAAACAACACTTACGACTCCATCACAATATTTGTTAATATCCACATTGGAACCCGATTAAATTCATATTTGCATCGAAAAATCCTATATTGGTTAAAACACTTTCTAATCAAGGCAAATTTGAGATTTTTATTTAAGAATGAATAAATACTTACGACTTGTCGATTCCACCACAAACACTTGTGTTTCTTTTCTTTGAAGTAACACATTTCCAAATCATGACTTAAAATCCAAAAACTAAATAAAATAATTTTGTGTCACGTAAATACCATATAATGATGCTTACACATCAAATCAAACCACTAATAAAAGGTTTTAATTAATACTATATATGAAATTGTTGGTTACTAAAGTGATATATCTAAGAAATTTCTCTTAATTGGTATAGATGTTACGTGAAAGAAAACATGCAATTTCATGTCCCCATCAAAAATTAAAAAAAGAACTAAACTTTATCCTAATTGGCACACTTTTATTAGTCGGATCATAATATTTGTCAATTGTACGTAATGTTACTTTACATACAAAAAGTAACTTATTTTACATAGCTTGAACATGTGATCTTCTGATTAAGTAAAAAAAAAACAACTTTTGCCATGACTCTCTTTCGATAGATTTAGATTACTCAAAAGCTGCGTTAATATCTATCACTGTGCATGAGGTACATTTCACGATTTGAATTTGTAACCTTCAAACAATCTAAAGAAACATCTTTTATCATTGAGTGCGCCAATCAAAATAAAACTTTTTTTTTTATATTTAAAAGAGGAACCCAAAAAAATAAATAAAAAATCAATCGTGTGAACTAAATAATATTTGCTTAATTCCTCTAATTTCTTAAAGTAAAAACTCAACAATGGTACCTTATAAGCAAATTAATGATGACTTCAAGAAATGAAACTTTCAAGCAATAACAAATAAAACTTTCTATAAATTTAAACTTCAATTAAACCACAAATTAAAAACACTTCAACATTGATAAATTTATACAAACAAAGAGAAATCTTACATTCATTTATTTTTTTTTTGAAAAAAATGGAAAAAGTTGGTAAAAAATTAGCAGTTCTAGTTGGTTGCAACTATGAAAATACACCTTACAGGTTAGAAGGACATGTCAGTTGAACACCCTTTATTAAAGAGTATATATAGAAAATTATATCGTATATGTCAAAAGCATAGATATAGCTCATAGGGGGTGCAAGAGGGTCAAACTGAGCCTCGTTCGTTGAAAAATTATTCGTATATGTAAAAATAAAAAAAAATAAAAATCTCGACATAAAAATTTTCTTATTTGAATTTCTGGCTTTGCCACTGATATATGTAGATCAAGATTGAGTTTTTCTACTATATACTAAACTTTAAATAGTTTGACGAAATTTCTGACTTTGCTGCTGGTACAGGTTACATGGATGTCACAACGATGTTTTAGCCATGAGAGATGTGCTAGTAAATCGATTCGGGTTCGATTCACAGCACATTGAATTGCTCATGGATAAATCAGGGAGTCCAATTATGCCTACTGGAGTTAATATTAAGAAAGCACTTAATAAAATGGTTGATGAAGCTGAACAAGGTGATATTTTGTATTTTCATTTTAGTGGTCATGGTACATTGACTGGAAAAAAGAATCAAGAAGAAGCAATAATTCCATGTGATTTCAATTATATTACTAGTAAGTTTGTTTTAATTTTATTTAATTTAATCATAGGTATAAAGTTTATGAAATATAGTTTTTTTTTTTCATTCTAGAGAAGGCATTTGTTAAGGGGTCGAGACCACTTTAAAATAACTTTATTTTTTTTTATGTATGTTAGAGCGTTAGAAAATATTCTTTTTAGTGAGATATATAAGGGGCTAATACTGAAATAATAAGTAAGTATTTGTTGTCTAATCAATCAACTCGGATATCACTATTTACTAGATCTCCTGTGCTCGCTCGACATAAAAGAAATTAAGCATGCCAAATTAAATGAATAAAAAAAGTCAAAACATAAGTGATATACAATATTGAACTTACAATTTATTATAAAGGATAATATTTTCTACAAGTATAGGAATTACGAATCATCACAGATAAGTCATAAAACTAGATAAAAAAATTTTACATGAAAAATATTACGTAAACTGAATAATCATTTGAGAAATCAACTTGTCTACGGGGGCGAAAACTAATTTAGCTACAACCTCTTAGGAGAGTCCAATTTATCTACTCATTGAAACCTTCATTTTCTAATAACTCAATTATTCTTTGTAAAAATATGTTTATATTTCACTTGTTATTATACAATTTTAAGTTCTTAGTAACCTTTAAATTAATTAAAATATTTATTTTGGCAGATGTGGATATTCGAAAAATAGTGAATCGAGTACCACAAGGAGCAACATTCACAATCCTTTCAGATTCTTGCCATAGTGGAGGCCTAATTGACAAAGAGAAAGAGCAAATTGGACCATCTCACCACAAACCCGAAAAAAACAGCTACGTCTCAGTCCCGAACAAGTCAGGATCGACATCAAAATCTTATTACTCCAAGCCTAAATTCATCCCACATGAAACAATCTTGGAATATCTAACATCATTAACAAACATTAACACCTCAAATATTGGAACACACATGTTACAACTATTTGGGAATGATGCTAGTGTTATGTTCTCTTTGCCTCAATTGGAGTTAGATTTATTGAAGCCACTTAAACAAGATGAGGGTATTTTGTTAAGTGGATGTCAAGCTAATGAAGAATGTGAAGATGTTGGAGGAATTGAAAATGAAAATAAAGCTTATGGGGCATTTAGTCATGCAATCTTAATTGTGTTGGAAAAAAATTGTGACCCTATTAGTTACAAAGAGTTGGTGATGAAGTCTAGGTATGTTTTGGAAAATGATGAACATATTAAGACTCAACACCCTTGCCTCTATTGTAGTGATGAGAATGCTCAAGCACTTTTTTTGAGCCAAGGTTGAGGTCAAATGTCACTATAATGTAATTGATATATAATAATGATTTTATGATGGAATAAAAAGAATTTATATTTTATGTATCGATAGTATAATATATGTGCGCAATATTATAATGTTATTTTTGAGATAGTTACATGTGAATATCTAGAATTCATTGTTGTAATGGTCACTCAAAAGTCATTCAATATGGGCTAAGCACGTTGAGCCGATCTGGTCTAACCCATATTTTGATAGCGTTGAGTTACGATTTTTGGAGTCCATTTAAGAAAAGGACTTTCTAGCCTGGCTTGGATAAGGCTTTATTTGTTTGCACTTAATGGAGGTCTGAATCTTAATCATTCAGATTCAGTCTATTTGATACGTTTGTTTTTTAGATCAGAATCTGAATCATTCAGATTCAGCTCATTAATTTCATTTGTGTTATTTTGTAAAAAGTCTCTTAATGGGTCCGAATGAATCAGATCTGTAAGAGATTCTTAACAACATTCAAATTCATTTAATAAGTTATCATATAATAAATCATCGTTTATCTGCTTTAAGCGTGCCTTTTTATGTCATAATTAAGAACTTTCTTTCTCTCTTTTCTCAATCAAACACTATCCCCCCCCCCCCCCCTCTTGAACTGGTAAGTTTTCATAAATCTTTCAAGTTTTTTTTATATTAATAATTTTCTTGTATTGAATGTGTCAAGAACACTGTTGGTGTATTGGCGTTTATCAAGGTTTTTGAATGAAAAAATTGTACTTCCAAATCATGATTATACATATGCACTTGTATACATGGCAAGTGAGATTAGGAGAGAGGAGAGAGGTGAACGAGATTGGGGAGGGAGGAGAGTGGCGAGTGAGAGAGGGCAAAAAGTGAGAGAGAGGTGAATTATATATGTATATCGGTTAGATAATTATATATTATACATATGTATTTGTATATTCTAGCAAATTATACATATACAAACATGACTAATTATACAAACTCAAAGTTAGCCCATATGATTAATGTATAATGTTAGTCGCGAGTAATAATTATAGCAAACTATGACTATGATGAGTAATTAAGTAGTATAAATTTGTTTAACAGCGATACTTACCAAGGTGAAACTTGTTTTGGGACTAAGTATATGGTAAACCATTGCAAACGTTTACAAGGGTTGCATTAGTATGGTTAAGACACGATTATCTTTTTCCACATCCTTTCTATTGATTTGCGGAGGGTATTTTTAAAACGGAGAAAGGCCCAAAAAAACGCCTCTCAACTATTTGAATTGGTACAAAACTAGTGATTCAAATGCTTTTGGTCTTCCAAAATTATATATTCGTGATCAATTGCTTTGATTTGATCTGTTAAACCGCATCAGTAAAGATCTTATTAGTATTTCACAAGGGCTCAAAAACAAAATCAAAATTTGTTGGGATCAAAATAATCAGCGATAAATCATACGATAATGAAAATTTTATAAGTTGGTCAATTGACCTACATATTTCAAAAACTAATATATAATATATATGAAAAATTCAACATCTATATTGTATATACTATTGTGTTATTTATGATAAATAAAAACCGTTTTTCAAACTATTCCTCTTAGAAAATCAGGCAAAATCCCAACGAAACTCTCAATACCATAGTGTAGCAGCTGTAGCAAGACCATCCATGGCAACATTTGTAACATCCCTTATTTTCTCAATGTCATCTTTAAGACGAGGTTCAATGATTTCCATCAAATAACTCAAATATGGAAGAAGATTCGCGGAACCAATAAGAACAGTAATGTGGTAAACAATCATAACACCTGTATGACGAGCCTCCCATGATTCCATCTGAAAACAAATTTCTTCGAGGAATGGAAGCAGAGCAGGAATACCTAATGCAGATGCAGCGATGCTAAGAGATCGAGCAGCTGCATTCCTGATATGTTCGTTAGGACTGTCAATATTGAGGCGCGTTACATGAATCATAGCATCAATACCAGCAGCTTTGATAAGATCAGATATGATTTCTCTACCTATAATACGAACATTGTAGTCCTCATCAGTTAACAGAGGTTCAGTCGAAACAAGAACTTCGTTCACAATTTCCTTTTTCTCCGACTCTGCAAACAAATTCAGAGTAGCAATCTTCTTCCTCACCGAAGCTAATTGTTGCTCCATTTTATCAAATGAGTATATCGGAAATTGATTTTGATTAGATTAAAAGAACAAAAGTTACCTTCAATATATAGGCAAAAAGGCAAATCTACCCTAAATAGAATAGTATTCAAATTAGTTTTATGGTAATAAATTAACAAAAATTATTATCCTAAACAGAATAGGATATAAATTAACATATTCTAAAGAGGATTTAAAATAAATTAAGTTAAATTTGAATTCGACTATGTTTAGGTTTTAGATTTTTGTTTTTGTCTATAAAAAAGTTGATTTGAGAAGATGAATTAGACGAAGAAGATGGAACAATGGACAAGACTGAGCCAAACAAAAACAGATTTGTGAAAAAAATTCTCGTTTTGACTGAATATCGCAAGATTATGATAGTGTAACAAAAACAACAATGAATTTGTGAAAAAACAACTGAGTTAGCCACCTGCAATTGCTTGTAATCTGGCATGTCTGCACCCTTTGCCACATATACACAACATGTTGCAACTGACTGTAAATCGGTGACATATGAACTAACCAACACAGCTTTTGTTTTCGGTGAAACCATCTGATATCCAAAGTCCACTGCTCCGACTGATCTAGACTCACTCTGAGGCTCACTAAAGGTGTATAACTCTCCCTTACTCGAACCAGCACAGTTAATTTTTCCTGCACAATAACAAGTCAAGGTTATACTAAGAACGGAATTTAGACATGCGAGATGCAGCATTCAAATGAAAGGTATAGGGTGTCTGGTTCCAAATTTGAGCAATAAGAAAGTGTATTTTTGATCATTTGATGTGGACATATTCGATTGTGAACCTTGGCGTCTTTCCTTTACATTTGAGGGACATTTACATGGTCTTAATCTATCTAGAACCGTACAAGCAAGATAATAGACATAACTTAACACGGGACAAACTCGATGCATATATAAAAAGTCACTTTCAATGTTAAAAGCACATGATTGCTTACCAAACTTAAAGCAGGATGACGGATGGCTTAATCTGATTTCTCGTTTCTCATGAACCCCTGCAGTTCCATGAGGTTTTAACAAATCGAAAGATGCATTAGCACCTAACATTCTAACCTTTCAACAGCTTGTTTACCCTGCAAAGCTGAATGGCTTGCAAGTTGATATATTTTATCGAAATTCTGTTGACTCATTGCCTCTTTGTCAAATATGGCATCGGATAGAACAACTGCTGATGCTCCCTGACCAATGTATTGCCCAATCAAATCTGTACTAAAGCACAGTTATCCATCATTTCACTATCTGCTATGGAAAAGTAAAATTTGCAAGAGATATGACGGATTAGAGAGACAACAGATTCTCCATGAGTAAATATCAGATACTGGTGGAAGAAGAGTCAAAGGCACCGGCCATATTACATTGTTCATTTCAACTATCAACATATGTTCCATAAGTATTTGTTGAAGATCAAATTTTAGCAGAAACATTCCGATTTCATTACTACCAACAAATAAAGTAGATATTTCAATTTATCTTCTAAATGAAAGAGAACTTCTTGGAATGTCCCTGAGATGATAATTTTTGAAAATCGAATGATGACTAATCAAAAAGGCCTAACCGAGAAGATAACCAACCTATTGTTATGCCTTGTGATGCAACCATAGGGATATGAGAAAAAGGCTTTTTCAGAGCTGAAATGTACCCAACACCACCCAGTGCAGAGACGGGATAAACCTATGTAAAGCCAAAAAAAGGAAGTTGTAAAAAGGATCACCACGAGCTCAATTGTTTATCAAGCTTCTCTCCATAAAAAACAAACATTCAAGAAATCCCGCAAGCTATAGTGGTAAACCATAGAGCAAGGGAAAGATTAAAAATAGTCATGACTTACCTTGACAATCTTGGCACCAGCACTGAAAGCAGATAATATCTGCACAATCATAAAACAATTGCATTACTCTCTTTTGCTGTTATAATCTGAATATGGTCATGACATGAAGAAATCTTGTCGATATTCAAGAAATAAGCCTGTCCACAGTTGTGGGATATTGATGGGCAGCAAAACACAGAACTTGGCAGAGGCTCTGCCCTTCCCCATGTCCTGGGAGGCAAAATCCTGATATCATTTTCTGTTCTAAGCTCACAAGATGAAATGAAGAGCAAGATAGTCCAGTACCTCCGTGGGGGTCATTACACCAGGTATATATAGAATATCACTCTCTGAGACACCAACTAGAATATCCTGAGAAAAAGGAAAAACATGCAAGAATTAAGTAAAGCAGTCACCATGGTCACAAATACAACTACCATTTAGGCATTCACGACTACATATATATCTATTAATGACATTCACAGGTAACAGGAACTGATATTTGTATAAGGTACACACTTAAATAGACATTTGGATTTGGCATAAGATCTATATGGTTGAAACACCAGCACATACCATAACTGTTGCAGGACTCATAAGAAACTTAGCTCCAGCCTTTATAGAATCTTTGGCATCTTTAGCCTGTAATACTGTTCCAACCTGCAAACGTAGAGAAAATGTGTTTACAATTACAGTTGGTAGCCGGTCCTTGTGTTGTTTTATACATAGTCCACAATACACAATGTTGACACTATAATATTATTATACTTCGCATGCCCTTACTGTTGGCACACCTGCTTATCCACCAACAAATATAATGCCTCGAGAAAGAATGTCTAGCAAATCACAAACAAATAGTAACTACTACAGAAACTAAAGTTTGCACTTAAGCCAAGGTAAAATTTAAGAACTTTGGAATACAATAAAACACCGGAACTGACAAACTACCAAGAAGTAGACAAATTGAGGATGTTAAGACTGAATATACGCCAAACTTTGATGGGCGAAAAAGAGAGGATTGGTACAGGGAAAACCAAGATAGTGTAAGAGTTCTTTCCCTCCTTCCGGAAGTCTGCTTCCTCCCCACCCCCAAACAAAAAAGAATAGAATTACATTTAAAAATGAGGGAAACGAACACCTTCTACTTCCTTTCAACTACAGTAGACACCCAACAAGGGAAGTTCCCCCACAAGAGAGGGAACGCAACAAGTTCCTATTCTTCTTTCCCTTCCCTTCCCTTCCCTTCCCTTCCTTTTCTTTGAAAAAAGAAATAGTCTTGAGTTAATAAAAGAAGCTATTGAATACTTACTCCAAAAGTTTTTGCTGGATAATCATGTACTAGGTCTCTTATCACCTGCATAAAGGAAAAGAAGCACATAAGTTAGCCAAATGTTTACTGCTCTCCAGCATGAGAAAGAGCAAGCAACTGCATGTATCACAGTACCTCAAAAACATCTGGAGTGGACACCACAATTTCCAGCTGCAATGTTAGAAGATAAAGACTATCAAAACACCTCTATATACTCTGAATAAAATATTCATTCGAAAGGTAGATAGAAAGGTGGACAATGAACTTGGGATGACAGAGTAATAAGTATATCAGATAGATTCAAACTTACAGCTGAAATTCCACCATCCAATGCAGCGCGTGCAGCTCGATTAGCCAGGTCTGCACTAAACAACATGGAAAGGCGCAACTTCACATTTGCATGTCTTTTAAGATATTTTGAGATGACGAAAAAAATGGAGTGGAAAATGTAATGCTAAAAAGTACAACTTGTTTCCGAGATAAACTTTACTTATATTAACAACAATCTTCAATTGAGAACTAAATCTCTATAATAGCATGGTGAAAAGCTCTCCTTCCCTAAATAATCTAGCATTAGTTGGCTTCGTAGCTTACCTTTTTCAGAACAACTCTATAAACTTAAAGAGAAAAATACCCTAACAAATGTAATCACTCTACAATCAAAAGACTTTCAGATAGTAAGCTAGCGTTTGATCATAAATTCTCAGAGTAGATTTCAAAAATTTATCTTCAAATACTCCCTCTTATCACTTTTACTTGTCCAGTAATCCAGAACCTGATTTTAACGTTTACTTCTCACTTTAAACATATCCGAGTCATTTCCCACGAACTAACCCTATACATTAATATAGGTATTGTGCTAAAATACTCATACTAATGGTTGTTTCTTAAAAAACCATGCAAAGTCCAAAATGGACAAGTAAAAGTGAACACATAGCTGTCCATTTGGCCATTAAAAATTTGATCAAATTTTGAGAATCCAATCTTCAAATATTTCCACGTTCCCAAAAACGGCCTCATACCAGTTTTAGGATTTGTAGGGACTCCCACTCACAAAAGATCAAATCTTTTCTCCACAAAACATATGCGTAAACACAACTTCAAAAACTCGATTTTTCAAGATTCAGCTTCAACATCTATGGCCAAATGGGAGCATATAGCTGTAATAAGAGTAATACTCTAGTTCTGAGGATAAATATATCAAGCTTATGGCAACTAACTAACATTACCCAAGAATTAGTTGGGTTAACACACAAATTTATTACTAAAAATCAAACTTTACACATATTTCAGAGTAAACCCAGTTCAGATTTCACAATAATTATCAAAAGAACTAAACAAAAATGGTACAAAAAGAGTTACTTTTGAGCTCGAAGGCAAGCGATTACTCCAGAATTTCGAATTTCCTGCAGTGCTTTGTTGGCTATACCATTAGACGAATGGACAAAAATTGGGTTCTCAAACGAACTACTGCTGCTGCTGCTGCATCTGCAACGACAAGAAGAAGGCTTTTGAAGATAGGTAAAAGGTAAACTAAAGCTTGCAATCGCCATATTTTCTCAATACCCAGAAAAAAGAAAAATCCTACCTCATGAAATTGTATAAACAACACGACAAATTAATATTGGCACGAATTTTTTTAAGAATTCGTGCCAATATCTAGATAAATTTTATCGTAATTGAGTTAATGCAATAAGTGATATCATTTCTAACATAAAGTAATCTATTAGATTAGTAAAATTGTTCCTATTTCATTTTTGTTTTTTCAAGCCCACCGAATTACTTGCGAAATCTCAAATCTCGAAGGTTCTAAATAGATTCTGTGTTGATGAATCATTATTTATGTTGGAATGATCATTTATTCGTATCAAAATATCTTCTTATTCTAGTGTTGATAAATATGATAATGAACTTTAAATTTTTAGATGTTTATGTGATTGTAGTTTTTTTTTAGTAATATTTGATAGGAGTTTTGAATTTAGCAAGGAAGTAAAAATTTTGAATTTATAAATCTAAATACTTGTGCGGCATAAATCATTAATGTAACATTATTTTTAAATAACAAAAGAAAATATAAATTTCTCGAACTAAATGTTTACCAAGTAAGAAAGTAAATTATATTTTTTATTGAACTATCTAATAAAATGAAAAAAGAATGTCAAATTTCGATTTATAACTATATCAAGAAAGTTATTATAAAATGAAAATTATTGCTTGATTCTTCTTTAAGGAAAAGAAAGTTATGACAAAATAAAAATTCAAAAGTTAAATTATTTTTAAATTATAATTTATTTTTTTTAAAAAAAGTAATTATTATTTATTAAAATTAAAGTTGACCCAATGTTCAAGCTTGTTAAAGCTTTCTCATTGGCGTATATTAATCACCTATTTCCTCCCTTAATTCACAAGAAAGAAACAAATTATAAATATAATTATATACATAATAATAAAAAATAAATAGCAATTAATATAAATAAATACTGTTGAAAAAACACAAAATTGTCCAAAAGAAGAGGTTTTTCTTGTCGTTTTCTTGAATTTTAGGGGTTTTGAATTTCCCATACATCAAGAATTTGGGATTTTCTCCATTTTTTGGGGTTTCAGTTGAAGAATTCGAAGTGGGGTTTTGAGTTCTTGAATATATTTTACTCATGACATCAACTTTGAGGAGAAGGCTTCATCATGGGGATGTTGGTGGCAAAAAGAATGAGCATTTTGATTCTTTAGGCTCTGATGATGGTTTGAATGAGCCTTTACTTGGGTACCAGAAATATGATGACAGTGATCAGGTGAATTTCTTTTTTTTGTTGTTGATAATGTGTTGAATCATATTGCTAAAAGTTTCCCTTTTTGGGGTTTTGTGCTGTGAATGAGAAAAATTGGATTGGAATTTGTGTTGCTTTTTTATGCTTCTCGTTGATGATCTTTTGAGTTATGTTGCTAAAAGGTTGTGTTTTTTTGGGATTATGTGCTTTGATAGAGAAGATTTGGATTGGATTGTGAAATGGGTTGGGATTTATTTTGCTTTTGGTTGATGATATTTTGAGTTGTGTTGTTAAAAGTTTGTGCTTTGATAGAGAAGATTTGGATGAGATTGTGAAATGGGAATTCTTTAAATTGTAGGTATGTACGCTTGAAGAAGTGTTGGATGAAGGGCGAAGGAGGGAACGTCTGCACTGGACGCTGCTATTTTCTCATCTGATTTCTCAATGGGCACAATGGTTAGGTGTGATTTCGTTTGTCTGTACTTTTGATGTTATGCTCTTTGTGCATGTTGTGCAATGCGATTGTGTTGTGGTTTTCGTTCATTTGTAATTTGATGTTATGTTGTTTTTTCATGTTATGCAATGCAATTACTTACACACGCCTAAAACTACTTAAAAGATAGGGCATCACAACATTGTGTATTTTTCTTCCCTTATGGATTAACGACCGGAGCTGAATGAGTAGAACAGAAAGCGTCATGTGAGAGGTTAGAGTAGGAGAAGAAACACTAAGAAGTGGAATGGTGCAGCAAGCAGTCAGAGTAGGTAGAGGACTAGACCTTTTTGTGACTTTTGGTACCTTGTTAGTTGTTACAATTCCTAGGTTAAGAAATGATTCTGGGGCCTTAGGAAATAGAAAAGGAGAACAGGCTAATTTAGGGGGATATGCAGGTTCCTTTAGGTGGAAGAGAGCAATGATGGTAGGCTTGGTGAAAAGCTTTTCTTCAAGTTTTAGCATCTTCGCTCTTTCTCCACATACTAAACCTCAAAAAGAGAATGTCTATGAGGATTCTCAAATCTGTCATAGGCACTTCCAAACTTTCTCAAATCTGTTATATACAATTTTAATGACTTCAAATTTTTCTGATCCATTATCCTTTGATCTTGCAGCAAATATTGTCTTTGTGTCTGGGTCACTTCTTGGCCGGATTTTTCCTTTTGCCTCAACTCAATCTGGATCAACAGGAACTCTTTTACCTCCTTTACTTAGCCCTTTACAGGTAATACATGAGAGATTGAGGATTGAAAGTTCTAACTTTGATCACCTTTGATTTGCAGATATATGATGTTAACTATCTCTGCTAAAATGTTGCTTAGAGCTTTTCAAATCAATTCTTTTTGTTGGAGTCTGCAGGGTTTGACACATGAAAAATTTGTGGTTTACCTTGTGATATTTTATTTGTGTTTATATTGTCATGTCCATCACTTCTATTCCCATCCAAAAAGAATCTAATCCATTAAACTCATCTGGCTACCTCCCTTACACCCTTATTTGTTTCTCCATCTATTGTTACACAATTCTCGACATTGAATTCTTTGACATTTGATTGCAGGAAGCAAGGCTCAAACATCTCAAGCAAAGGCTAGCGATCCCTTTTGATGGCTCTTCCTCGGATCATCAAGTATGTAAATTTTACCCCGTGATTTTGTTAAATGTTTATTTTTTTGGTTTCTTTAGCACTGGAACAGTTTGCAGCAATTACAGAAATGAGAGATAGACTTGTGTAGTTAATGCTGTATGGTTCTAATCAATGGACGGTTCAAGTTTATTAGTCTGAAAGCTCCTGGTTTCAAAGTTATTTAAGGTCTCCATACTAGCCTTTTAGAGCTTCACTCTTTAGATGGTTGATTTGTTAGGATAAGAACAAGAAGATATCATGACTTACTGTGGTTTTTTGAGATCAAGCAAGAGTATATTACCTTAGTTTGGACTCGTGATGAGAAAATAGAAAGGAGAGCTTCAAGCCGCATTCTTTAATTGATCACATATAATTTTTCTTTTTGAGAAGGAGATAGTTGTGTCTCTTAAACTTGTATTGCAAGATTTAGTCTCTTGTATGTATGCCTTGTTGTTTTATATGTTCGTGAAGAACTAAAAATCCAAATTTGGTGTCAGGATGCTCTTAGGCAACTATGGAGGTTATCTTATCCCGATAGGCCGCTCCCATCTCTTAAATCTGAGCTTTGGAAAGAAATGGGTTGGCAAGGATCTGACCCTTCAACAGACTTCAGGTATATGAGGAAGTGTATATTTGATTCACATTTCTGTTTTGCTGTCGTTCTTATACTAAAATTATGTGCGTAAATGTCCAGGGGTGGAGGATTCATATCATTGGAGAACCTTATCTTCTTTGCCAAGACATACCCGGTTTGTACATCATATTATTTACCTTCCTCCCACCCCTACATGCTTTGAAGCCTATCTGGTACAAATAAACTAGATGATTTTATTGTATTGGGAATTCACCCCTCTATTCTACGCAACTTAGTTTTATCCTCTGCTATAATTTGTGCCATTCATATCCTTGCCATTAGAAAATCGTCTTGTACTTGCCCTCAACTGTAACAGTTCTCCAGCATGGACTGGGTGGATACCAGCTGAGCAATATATTTGATATTTGAGCGGTTGTTTTTGTGTTTCATGAAGCTTGATAATATAGCTTTTTAGCAAAGCATAATTGAGTTCTCTCGAGACCAATGTTCTCTTGTCTGGTAGAGCAGGGAAGTAAGTTTTGTATTAATAGTTTTTCCCTCATCGCCTGCTCTATTACAGGAATCTTTCCGGAATTTGTTGCACAAAAGAAACGGAAACAGATCTGAGTGGGAGTATCCATTTGCTGTAGCTGGCATCAATATATCGTTTATGTTGGTCCAAATGTTTGATCTTCAATCAGGTACGGAAAATTCAGTTAGAAGTTAGCGTCTTTCATGTTTTTGGCTGAGAATAGATGGTGTATCTAAACATTCAACAGCTTCCAATACATACTTTCAAATAAATCAAATGTTGTGATTAAATCGTCCTGAACTGGTTATTCTGATAAATCTGAAGTGTAATATATTCTCTAGTATCATCGTTCTTTCTAATGACATAGGAACAATTAGTTGGTCTCAACGTCTCGTGTATCATCTCTGTTCCATCTTTTACTTTCCTCTTCTTATATGTAACAAGTTCTTGCATGTTCCCTTTTGATGAATAAGTAATGATTCTATTGATAAGTCGTCGTCCTCTTTTTTGAGTGACAGGGACACCTAGCACCCTTCCAGGTATCCGTTTTCTAGAACTACTCAGCGAAGATGACATGGCGTTTGACAACATCTTTTGTATTGCCTTTGAAATGCTCGATGCACAATGGCTAGCAAAACGAGCATCATATATGGAATTCAATGTTGGTAACACTAAACTATTCCATTGGATTCTTTTCATATATTTACCTCTGCCAACACATATTCTCCTTTCACTTTCCTTTTCGCAGGAGGTTTTGAAGGCCACGAGAGTGCAGCTAGAACGCGAGCTCGCTCTTGAAGATACTTCCAGTGTAAAAGATTTACCTGCCTACAATCTGTTGAGGAGATAATTTAGCCTTTGTTAGCTCCAACATGTTAGTTTTTTTCTTCTTCTAATATTTTACACCTTTGTAACCCTTACTGTATCTGTATATGATGTAAACCATCATGTTAAAGGCCTGTTTCGCCATAGATTTTTCAAATAATATTTGCGAAAAAAATTTGGCAAAAAGTGTTGGTCCATATAATTTGTTATCATTTGATAAATATTTTTGGCAAATATCTCAAATACTAGTTTTTTTAGTATGTGAGTCAAATCTTATTATTTGGGATCTTTTGAAAATTGAAATTTTATGCCAAACTTTTATCTTTTACAAAAATACCCTCTATCGTAGTGTTTACGTTATATTACATAATTTTTTACGTGAACACCAAAATAGTAATGAAATATTCACTGAATATGAAAGTAATGATATGGTTGTTAATGAAAATGATGAACAATCGGCTTAGGTTAATAAGGTCACGTGTTTTGTCTATTCCACGAATCACGAGGTATGGAATGGTGCTTGTTGTACT